GAGCTCGCACGACTCTTGCACACCGGTTGGATTACCAACCAGGGTGTTCCGGAAGACATAGTGAGCGACCGAGATACTCGCTTCATGTCGGTCTTTTGGACTTTCCTCATGGCTGAGTCCGGTACGACAATGAAGCCGAGCTCGCCTCGGCACCCGCAGACAGATGGCCAGACGGAGCGAGCGCACCAGACCGCTCAGATGATGTTGCATACGCTCATCCGTCCCGACCAGAAAGATTGGGTTGACCGGCTTCCGACATCGAGTTCGCCTATAAGCCTATAACACTTCGGTGCACCCGGTGATCTGCGTCATACATCATGGTGGAGAGAAAGCACGGATCTTCGCTGATCTCCTTTTGCCACAGGCTGCCGACATGGACGTCCCTTGCTCTCCCGCTTCCGTTCGGAAGTACCGGGACTTGCTGATCAAAGCCCGCACGAACATGCAAAAGGCTCAAATCCGCATGCAGCAGCAAGCTAACCGACGTCGACTTCCATGTCCTTTCCGCGAGGGAGACCTTGTTTGGGTCCTCTCCGAGGAATTTGCGCTCGAGCAGGACGTTTTGCGCAAACTCCTTCCGAAATGGTTCGGACCATGGGAAGTCACTTCTGCTGTTGGAGATGACCCCACAGGTCCTTCCTTTGTGGTCAACATTCCTCTGCACCTTACAGTGCACCGGGTCTTCCACGCGTCGAAGCTGGCCATCTACACGCCACCTTCCGCCGACGAGTTCCCCGGCTGTTGATCACAGGATCCGCCTTCTATGGACGGACATCAGGAAGTGGACCGAGTCATCACGCACCGCAAGTATGGCAACAAGCCAATGCAGTTCAAAGTCACATTCAAGCAATGTGCGCCTGACGACACTCGGCGGATCTCTAGTGCAGACTTGCAGACTTCTGCACCCCTTATCTTCGCCGACTATGAGAAGCGACACCTTGCCAAGGAAGCAGCTCGTCCCACCCGACCCATCCCGGTATCGGACAGACAACTTCACCCTCGCAGGTAGCTCGGTCTTTTAAGAGGGGGACTGTGTTACATCTTCGACGCCACACGGGCCCTACCGGACCCGACTTAGGGCCGGAGGGACACAGTAGGGCCTAAAGGCCCGACCTTGGGGTACTACAGGCCGTAAAGGCCTCATTTTGGACCAGACCCGACGGGCAGGCCCAAACAACATTACCGTTTGGGCCTGGCGGCGCTCTTGAGGCTGCCGCCCACCGGTTGGGGCTAAACCGTCAATCTTGACGGCTGAGGGCATGGCCAGGCCTCGCAGCATAGAGGCCGGCCTCTGCCTCACCGGTACAAAAGTACCGGTCCAGCCTCTCTTCGGCATCGAACCACCGACACTCTAGCGGTGCGTTATGGTATAGCGCCAGAGCGCTAGCGCTATTCTTAGCGCAGGAGCACGAGGAGCAGCGGCATCGCAGCAGAGGCAGCGAGCGGAGCAGCAGCAGCGGCGATTGAGCAGATCGGCGGCCATAGCCGCATGAGGTATCGGGACCCGGGGGTTCTCTCCTCCCTCCCGTCGCCAGTCCCCTCTCTCTCTCTCTCCTCCTCGACTCCCTTCTTCTTCTTCTTCTTCTTCTTCTTCTTCTTCTTCTTCTTCTTCTTCAGACTTCTTCTTCTTCTTCAGACTGGATGCTTGATACTAGTTGGACAGAGATCAGTGTTGGACTTCGGTGGTAAGAGGCTGTGGTACTTACCGGGTTCGAGACTTGGAGATTGTTGGGGATGATACTCGGCTGCATCACAGATTGGAC